GACTTAGCATAATGCCCTCAAGGACCATCCATGTTGTCATAAAAGGCAACATTTCATTCCTTTTTATGGCTAGATAATATTCCATTGTGTGTAGATACACACACACATACATACCTATCTTCTTTATTCATTTATCAATGGACACCTGGGTCATTGTAAATAATGCTGCAATCAGTGAACATGAAGATGCATATATCTTTCTGAGTTAGTGTTTTCATTTTCTTTGGATAAATATTCAGAAGTGCAATTGCTGGATCATATGGTAGTTCTATATTTAATTTTTGGAGGAACCCCCATCCTGTTTTTCATAGTGGCTATAGCAATTTACATTCCCACCAATAGTGCATGAGGGTTCCCTTTTCTCCACATCTTTGCCAACATTTGTTAACTCTTATCTTTTTGATAACAGCCATTCTAATGTGTGTCAAGTGATATCTCATGGTGGTTTTGCATTGCATTTCCCTGATGATTAGTGATGTTGAGCACCTTTTTATATACCTGTTGGCCATCTGTATGTCTTCAGAAAATGTACAGATACAATGCCCATTTTTTTAATCAGATTTTATTTTTAGCTGTTGGGTTGTATGAGTTCTTTATATATTTTGGATATGAACCCCTTTCAGATATATGATTTACAAATATTGTTTCTCATTTGATAGTTTGCCTTTTTGTTTTGTTGGTAGTTTCCTTTGCTGTGCAAAAACTTTTTAGTTTGATGTACTCTCAACTGTTTATTTTTGCTTTTGTTGCTTTTGATTTTGGTGTCAAGCAAAGAACATCTTATTTGACCATTTTTCTCTGTAATGTTGAACAATAGTGGGAAGAGTGGATATTCTTGCTTTATTCTTGAGCTTGTGAACTCTTTCCATTTCCCCAACTGTATGTCCTCCTGAACTAGGATACAAATTGTATTTGGATTCTAAGTGACTAGGTGGCTAATGAAGGTAGAACTCTTTGCTGATGAACCTACAAATTCTTTTTTTCTTTTTTTCATCTATCACCCTGATAAGCGGTATTTTATTTTTTTAATTTTTTTAATTAACATATTATTTGTTTCAGGGGTACAGGTCTGTGATTCATCAGTCTTACACAATTCACAGTGCTTACCATAGTACATACCCTCCCCAGTGTCCATCACCCAGCCACCCCATCCCTTCCACCACCCTCCACTCCAGCAACTCTCAGTTTGTTTCCTGAGATTGAGTCTCTTATAGTTTGTCTCACTCTCTGGTTTCGTCTTGTTTCATTTTTCCCTCCCTTCCCCTATGACCCTCTGTCTTGTTTCTCAAAATTATCATATCAGTGAGATCATATGATACTTTTCATTCTCTGAATGACTTATTTCACTTAGCATAATACCCTCTAGTTCCATCTACATTGTTGCAAATGGCAAGATTTCAGGTTTTTTTTTTTTGATGGCTGCATAATATTCCATTTATATATATACCACATCTTCTTTATCCATTCATCTGTTGATGGACATCTAGGCTCTTTCCATAGTTCAGCTATTGTGGACATTGCTGCTATAAACATTGGGGTGCACATACCCCTTTGGATCCCTACATTTGTATCTTTGGGGTAAATACCCAGTAGTGCAATTGCTGGGTCATAGGGTAGCTCTATTTTCAACTTTTTGAGGAACCTCCATACTGTTTTCCAGAGTGGCTGCACCAGCTTGCATTCCCACCAACAGTGTAGGAGGGTTCCCCTTTCTCCACATCCTCTCCAACATCTGTCATTTCCTGACTTGTTCATTTTAGCCATTCTGACTGGTGTGAGGTGGTATCTCATTGAGGTTTTGATTTGGATTTCCCTGATGCCGAGCAATGGTGAGCACTTTTGCATGTGTCTGTTGGCCATTTGGATGTCTTCTTTGGAAAAATGTCTGTTCATGTCTTCTGCCCATTTCTTGATTGGATTATTTGTTCTTTGGGTGTTGAGTTTGATAAGTTCTTTATAGATTTTGGATACTAGCCCTTTATCTGATATGTCATTTGCTCCTCTCCCATTCTGTCGGTAGTCTTTTGGTTTTGTTGACTGTTTCCTTTGCTGTGCAAAAGCTTTTTGTCTTGATGAAGTCCCGATAGTTCATTTTTGCCCTTGCTTCCTTTGCCTTTGGCGATGTTTCTAGGAAGAAGTTGCTGCAGCTGAGGTCGAAGAGGTTGTTGCCTGTGTTCTCCTCAAGGACTTTGATGGATTCCTGTCTCACATTTAGGTCTTTCAACCATTTGGAGTCTATTTTTGTGTGTGGTGTAAGGAAATGGTCCAGTTTCATTCTTCTGCATGTGGCTGTCCAATTTTCCCAACACTGTTTGTTGAAGAGACTGTCTTTTTTTCCATTGGACATTCTTTCCTGCTTTGTCAAAGATTAGTTGACCATAGAGTTGAGGGTCCATTTCTGGGCTCTCTATTCTGTTCCATTGATCTATGTGTCTGTTTTTGTGCCAGTACCATACTCTTGATGATGACAGCTTTGTAATAGAGCTTGAAGTCCAGAATTGTGATGCCACCAGGTTTGCTTTTCTTTTTCAACATTCCTCTGGCTATACAGGGTCTTTTCTGGTTCCATACAAATTTTAGGATTATTTGTCCCATTTCTTCGAAAAAAGTTGATGGTATTTTGATAGGGATTGCATTAAATGTGTAGATTGCTCTAGGTAGCATAGACATCTTCACAATATTCATTCTTCCAATCCATGAGCATAGAACGTTTTTCCATTTCTTTGTGTCTTCCTCAATTTCTTTCATGAGTATTTTATAGCTTTCTGAGTGTAGATCCTTTGCCTCTTTGATTAGATTTATTCCTAGGTATCTTATGGTTTTGGGTGCAATTGTAAATGGGATCGACTCCTTATTTTCTCTTTCTTCTGTCTTGTTGATGTATAGAAATGCAACTGATTTCTGTGCATTGATTTTATATCCTGCCACTTTACTGAATTCCTGTATGAGTTTTAGCAGTTTTGGGGTGGAGTCTTGGGTTTTCCACATAAAGTATCCTATCATCTGCAAAAAGTGAGAGTGTCACTTCTTCTTTGCCAATTCGGATGCCTTTTATTTCTTTTTGTTGTCTGATTGCTGAGACTAGGACTTCTAGTACTATGTTGAACAACAGTGGTGATAGTGTACATCCCTGCCATGTTCCTGACCTTAGGGGAAAAGCTCTCAGTTTTTTCCCATTGAGTATGATATTCACTGTGGGTTTTTCATAGATGGCTTTTATGATATTGAGGTATGTTCCCTTTATCCCTACACTGTGAAGAGTTTTAACCAAGAGAGGATGCTGTACTTTTTCAAATGCTTTTTCTGCATCTATTGAGAGGATCATATGGTTCTTGTTCTTTCTTTTATTAATGTATTGTATCACATTGATTGATTTGCAGATATTGAACCAACCTTGCAGCCCAGGAATAAATCCTACTTGGTCGTGGTGAATAATCCTTTCAATGTACTATTGGATCCTATTGGCTAGTATTTTGGTGAGAATTTTTGCATCCATGTTCATCAGGGATATTGGTCTGTAGTTCTCCTTTTTGATGGGGTCTTTGTCTGGTTTTGGGATCAAGGTAATGCTGGCCTCATAAAATGAGTTTGGAAGTTTTCTTTCCATTTCTATTCTTTGAAACAGCTTCAGAAGAACAGATATTAATTCTTCTTTAAATGTTTGGTAGAATTCCCCTGGGAAGCCATCTGGCCCTGGGCTTTTGTTTGTTGGGAGATTTTTGATTACAGCTTCAATTTCCTTAGTGGTTATGGGTCTGTTCAGGTTTTCTATTTCTTCCTGGTTCAGTTTTGCTAGTTTATGCTTCTCTAGGAATGCATCCATTTCTTCCAGATTATCTAATTTGCTGGCATATAGTTGCTCATAATTTGTTCTTATAATTGTTTGTATTTCTTTGGTGTTGGTTGTGATCTCTCCTCTTTCATTTATGATTTTACTTATTTGGGTCCTTTCTCTTTTCTTTTTGATAAGTCTGGCCAGGGGTTTATCAATCTTATTAATTCTTTCAAAGAACCAGCTCTTAGTTTCATTGATCTGTTCTACTGTTCTTTTCGTTTCTATTTCATTGATTTCTGCTCTGGTCTTTATTATTTTTCTTTTCCTGCTGGGTTTAGGCTTTATTTGCTTTTCTTTCTCCGGCTCCTTTAGGTATAGCGTTAGGTTGTGTATTTGAGACCTTTCTTGTTTCTTGAGAAAGGCTTGTATTGCTATATACTTTCCTCTTAGGACTGCCTTTGCTGCATCCCAAAGATTTTGAACAGTTGTGTTTTCATTTTCATTTGTTTCCATGAATTTTTTTAATTCATCTTTAATTTTCTGGTTGACCCATTCATTCTTTAGTAGGATGCTCTTTAGCCTCCATGTGTTTGAGTTCTTTCTGACTTTCTTCTTGTGATTGAGTTCTAGTTTCAAAGCACTGTGGTCTGAAAATATGCAGGGAACGATCCCAATCTTTTGGTACCAGCTGAGACCTGATTTGTGACCCAGGATGTGATCTATTCTGGAGATCGTGGGCACTAGAGAAGAATGTGTATTCTGTTGCTTTGGGATGGAATGTTCTGAATATATCTGTGAAGTCCATCTCGTCCAGTGTGTCATTTAAAGCCTTTATTTCCTTTTTGATCTTTTACTTAGATGATCTGTCCATTTCAGTGAGGGGGGTGTTAAAGTCACCTATTGAGATGGTGTAGGCTTGTAGGCCCCTTGCAGGCCAGGGTCATTTGAGGACTGCAGTGAGGTTAAGGTCGGCCAGGCAGGCCTAGGCCAGGAGGAGAAAACGTTCTCTTCCCCTTATCTCATGTTGCAAGTTCTAAATGCCTGGATCAGCAGGAAGTGGCTCTTGCCTAGCTTAAAGTGTATCTTTCTAATCAGAAGTGTTCTTTCTAAAGACAAAGAACATGTTGTCTCCAAAGGAAGGATGGCTAAGAGAATTCTTTATTCTGCAAGCATAAACAGGATGTATTTTGTTCTTATTGCATATCGTGTATATTTCACTTCACAGATGTTGGCTTGATACATTGTTATGTTTATCTGATCTCTGCAAGTATACAGCTACGTGAGTAATAAACGGCAGTATGCAGTTGCAAGTGCTGCCTTTGCTCTGCATCCCCTGTGTCCTGGTGATTTCGTAGACCCTTACCCAGGGACCCCAACGCACTAGACGTTGACAATTGGCACCTGAACAGGGGCCCTGAAGGACGTACAGGAAGGGTGAGTAACTTAATTAAGTACAGGGTGATGGGACAAGAAACTTCTACTCCTTATGTTCGAATGCTGAAGCATTCACTTGCTGTCTATGGTATTACTGTCGCTTCTAATGATATTGAGCTGTGTTTGAAGGTGGTTCGAGAATGGAACCCTTGGTTTCCAGAGGAGGGAACTTTAGACATGGATAATTGGCGGCGAGTTCGACATAATGTCGAGAAGGCAATGAGACAGGGAGAAAAAATTCCCGTGCGGTTTTGGTCTATTTGGTCAATTATTTTTACAGTGCTTAAAGCGATGGAGGATGACCGCACGGTCGAAGACTTCCATAAGGAGATGGCTCCTTCTATACAAGACCTCCCTTTAGATACGGATGAGAAAAGGGCGGTAGAGAAAGATACCTTTAAGCTTACACCATCCCGTGAGCCTAGCGAGTGTGGTAATGAAGAACCAAAACCGAAAGTAAAGTCGGATCCCGAGGTGGAGCATGTATGGAAGGTTTTTCAGCAGGTTATGGCTATGACGGAGGAGTCTAAGAAACCCTCTAGGAAGCCCTCTGCTCCGCCTTTGCCTTCTGTACCAGCTCTTTCTTCTAAAAATCCTTTCCTTTCTGCTGCTTTAGCTGAGCTTGATGCGCTAGAGGATAGCGATGATGAGGCTGGCGCAGCTAATTCTGTCTTTGCTTTTCCTGTTATTAGGCCTCCCCCGGTCCAGGGAATGGCACAAGCACCATATTATGAAGGAATAGGTATAGAAGATATTGGTCGCTTGAAAAAGGCAGTGTCTTTATATGGACCTCAAACACATTATGTTAAGGAGCTAGTTAATGGTCTGGCTTGACATTATAACAGTTTTTCTCCTGAGGACTGGAGGGTCCTCTGTCGGGCTCTTTTAAAGGAGCCTGAATATCTGCAGTGGCAGATGTGGTTTTCTGAACTTTGTATGTATGTACATGTGGTAATAGATACATATTCTCAATTTATATGGGCCACAGCACAAAGTGGCGAAACTGCACAACATGTTATCACCCATCTTTTAGAAACTTTTGCTGTGATGGGTTTACCATCTATTATTAAAACAGATAATGGACCTGCATATAGCAGTAAAAAATTTCAAACTTTCTGTAAACAATATGGTATCATGCATAAAACAGGCATTGAGTATAATCCTCAAGGGCAAGCTATTGTAGAACGTGCACATAATACCTTAAAGTTACAAATTAAAAAATTAAAAAGGAGGATAAAGGATCATATCTTAGCATTCACTCAATCAAATGCACGTTCTATTTTGCAACAAGCTCTGTTCACATTAAATTTCTTGAATCTTCCACAGGGAGATATCCTCTCCCGTGCAGAGAAACAGTTCATAGAGGGAGAGGTCGCTCCCCCTCCATTAAATGAACATATATGGTTTAAACCAACCGCAGATGCAGAATGGCAACCGGGGCTATTACTTTGCAGAGGGAAGGGTTATGCTTATGTCTCCACAGAGGATGGACGGACCTGTTCCTGGCTTCCCTGCGCGATGGATCCAGTCGAGGGCCAATTCGAATGGCACTGTATCCCACCAGACGACAAATGGGGAATCCAGACCAAGATGAACTTCCGTTACAGGCCATGGCACATCTGAATTTGGGAGGACGACGTCGCCGTCGGCAGATATTTGCTACTGCTTTGCCGACTTGGGGGCAAATTAAAAAGCTTAGTGGGGAGGGGCAAAAAATCCTGCAGCGAACGGGGAAGGCTTGTACGCCTGAAAATTTATTTTTGGCTATGTGTGCCTTGCTTACTGTATCAGATGCCGCTACGTTGGCCAATTTACTTCTTAAGCAACTTGAGGGACTAGATCCAAAAGGTATTATTCAGAGTTTGGGGCACACTGCTGGAGGAATGGGACTTGTATTGTTGATTGTTATCTTATGCTTTATGCTGTTGCATTTTTGCTATCTAAAGCCTTCCCAGAATTCTATGGCCATCCTTTGGAGGGCACTTTTATTAAAACAAAAGAAAAAAGAGGGAATTGAGATGGTGTAGGCTTGTAGGCCCCTTGCAGGCCAGGGTCATTTGAGGACTGCAGTGAGGTTAAGGTCGGCCAGGCAGGCCTAGGCCAGGAGGAGAAAACGTTCTCTTCCCCTTATCTCATGTTGCAAGTTCTGGATCAGCAGGAAGTGGCTCTTGCCTAGCTTAAAGTGTATCTTTCTAATCAGAAGTGTTCTTTCTAAAGACAAAGAACATGTTGTCTCCAAAGGAAGGATGGCTAAGAGAATTCTTTATTCTGCAAGCATAAACAGGATGTATTTTGTTCTTATTGCATTTCGTGTATATTTCACTTCACAGATGTTGGCTTGATACATTGTTATGTTTATCTGATCTCTGCAAGTATACAGCTACGTGAGTAATAAACGGCAGTATGCAGTTGCAAGTGCTGCCTTTGCTCTGCATCCCCTGTGTCCTGGTGATTTCGTAGACCCTTACCCAGGGACCCCAACGCACTAGACGTTGACAACCTACTATTATTGTATTGTTGTCAATGTGTTTCTTTGCTTTTGTTATTAATTGCCTTATATAATTGGCTGCTCCCACATTAGCGGCATAGATATTTACAATTGTTAGATCTTCTTGTTGGATAGACCCTTTAAATATGATGTGGTGTCCTTCCTCATCTCTTATTATAGTCTTTGGTTTAAAATCTAATTTGTCTGATATAAGGATTGCCCTCCCAGATTTCTTTTGATGTCCATTAGCATGGTAAATGGTTTTCCACCCCCTCCCTTTCAATCTGGAGGTGTCTTTGTGTCTAAAATGAGCCTCTTGCAGACAGCATATCAATGGGTCTTGTTTTTTATCCAATCTGATAGCCTATGTCTTTTGATTGGGCATTTAGCCCATTTACATTCAGGGTAACTATTGAAAGATATGAATTTAGTGCCATTGTATTGCCTGTAAGGTGATTGTTACTGTATATTGTCTCTGTTCCTTTCTGGTCTATGTTACTTTTAGGCTCTCCCTTTGCTTAGAGGACCCCTTTCAATATTTCTTGTAGGGCTGGTTTGGTGTTCACAAATTCTTTTAGTTTTTGTTTGTCCTGGAAGCTTTTTATCTCTCCTATTTTCAGTAACAGCCTAGCTGGATATAGTATTCTTGGCTGCATATTTTTCTCATTTAGTGCTATGAATATATCATGCCAGTGCTTTCTGGCCTGCCAGGTGTCTGCGGATAGGTCTGCTGCCAATCTAATGTTTCTACCATTGTAGGTTACAGACTTCTTGCCCCAGGCTGCTTTCAGGATTTTCTCTGTGTCTCTGAGACTTGTGAATTTTATTATTAGATGTCAGGGTGTTGACCTATTTTTATTGATTTTGAGGGGGGTTCTCTGTGCCTCCTGGATTTTTGATGCCTTTTTCCTTCCCCAAATTAGGGAAGTTCTCTGCTATAATTTGCTCCAATATACCTTCTGCCCCCCCTCTCTCTTTCTTCTTCTTCTGCAAGCCCAATTATTCTAATGTTTTGCTTTATGGTATCACTTATCTCTCGAATTCTCCCCTCGTGATCCAGTAGTTGTTTATCTCTCATTTTCTCAGCTTCTTTATTCTCCATCATTTGGTTCTCTATATCACTAATTCTCTCTTCTGCCTCATTTATCCTAGCAGTTAGAGCCTCCATTTTTTATTGCACCTCATTAATAGCCATTTTGATTTCGACTTGGTTAGATTTTAGTTCTTTTATATCTCCAGAAAGGGATTCTCTAGTGTCTTTTATGCTTTTTTCAAGCCCAGCTAATATCTTTATAACCGTCATTCTGAACTGTAGTTCCGACATCTTACTAATGTCTGTATTGATTAGGTCCCTGGCAGTCGGTACTGCCTCTTTTCTTTTTTGAGGTGAGGTTTTCCGTCTTGTCATTTTGTCCAGAGGAGAATAGATGAGTGAGAGAATAAAATGCTAACAGGGTAACAACGACCCCAGAAAAATATACACTAAACAAATCAGAAGAGACCCAAACCCCGGGGGGAAAAGAAAGGGAAAAAACAAAACAAAACAATATCATCAGGCTGGTGAATAGAACAGAGCCACATACTAGATTTTGGGTGTATTTTGGTCTGTTAGAAGAAATTGCCTCCCCAAATTTTAAAGAATGAAAAACTTATACACACACACACACACACACATAAGGATAAATACATTGAAGGGATGGAATATGATTGTAAAGATGAAAATTTATTTATTTATTTATTTTTTAAAGATTTTATTTATTTATTTAACAGAGAGAGATACAGCAAGAGAGGGAACACAAGCAGGGGGAGTGGGAGAGGGAGAAGCAGGCTTCCCGCGGAGCAGGGAGCCCGATGTGGGACTCGATCCCAGGACCCTGGGATCATGACCTGAGCCGAAGGCAGACGCTTAACTGACTGAGCCACCCAGGTGCCCGTAAAGATGAAAATTTAAAAAGATCTTAAAAAAGGAATTGATAAGTTGGTTGAGAAAAGAATGAAAAAAATAAAAAAAAAAGAGATATGATCAGGTGGGAGACTAGGACAATGTCATACACTAGATTTAGGGTATATTTTGGTCTGTTAGAGAAACAGTATCCTAAATTTTAAATAAAGTAAATACATATATATATATATATATATATATATACACAAAAAAAATAAGGTTAAATACAATGAAGGGATAAAATATGAAAGTAAAAATGAAAATTAAAAAAGATTTTAAAAAAGGAATTGATAAGATGTTGGTTGAAAAAGGGAAGAAGAAAAATTCAACTAAAAAAATAGAAAAAGAAAAAAAATAAAGAAAATTAAAAAAATTAACTTTTAAAAACTAAAGAATCATGGGGAAAAAGCCATGGATTCTGTGTCCTGTATTCCCCTAGCTCTAGCGTTTTGCCGTTCTCATTGATTGGTAAACTTGGTCTTGGTTGGCTGTTCTTGCTGGTCTTCTGAGTGAGGGGCCTGTTGCTGTGATTGTCAAATGTCTTTGCCAGAGGCGGAATTGCCCCGCCCTTGCTGGGGGCCAGGCTAAGTAATGTGCTCGGGTTTGCTCCTAGGAGCTTTTGTTCCCTACCAGTTTTCCATACAGCTTTGGGGGACAAGAGTGAAAATGGCGGCCTCCCAAACTCCCCCCCTCACCCAGAGGAGCCAAGAACTCGGGGCTCCACTCCTCAGTGAGCCCCCAGAGAAAAGTAGTCAGTCACTCCCATCTCCCCAGTCTCCAGCCACACTCCGTGCTCACCCGGCCTGTGACCTAGCATTTCTATCTCTGGCACCCGACCTCGTGTGGAGTCTCCAAACCCAGCAGATCTCTGCATTGCGCTCCTGCGCCGCTCCTCCCGAGGGAGGAAGGGGAGTCTCCCTGGATCTGCTGCTTGTTGGGTCCCTGCTGGAGGAGCAGTGGCCCGACTGTGCCGTGGATCACGGTTTATGGCAACCCTGAGCTGAGAGCCCACACCTCGGCTCCATCTCTGCAGCCAGCTTCCCCTCTCTGATACCCGGGAGCTCTGCCGCACTCAGGCATCCCCGGTCTTTCTGTGACCCCAAGGGTCCTGAGACCACACTGTCCCACGAGGGTTCCAACCCCACTTAGCCACTGGAGTGACGTCCCTCAGCGGACCCGACTTCTAAAAGTTCCGATTTTGTGCTCCGCTACTCTATCATTTGCCGGTAGCGGCTGACGGAGGTCCCCTCCCGCTGTGGTCTGTCTTCCCGTATATCACCTGGGATTCACTTCTCCACATGTCCTACCTTCCAGAAAGTGATCACTTTTCTGTTCATAGAATTGCTGATATTCTTTTCTTTGATCTCCTGTTCAGTTTTAGGTATTCTGAATGGTTTGATAACCATCCAGCTGAATTCCTGGGACCAGAGGAAATTTAGGTCTCCTACTCCTCTGCCATCTTGCTCCTCCCTACAAATTCTTTCTTTCCTCTAGTATTCACTAACAGGGTAGTGATGATCTGGAGAATGTTCTAGGTGAATTATTCAGGCATTTTTGCATGAAAATACCTTTTTTTCTCAAATAATATCATTTTGCTTTTGTCTCAATACCTTGAAGAATCGGGAACATTTTCTTAAAGATTTCAAATGAAGGGCATTTTTTTTTTCTAGCTTAAACTCTTTCTTTACTTCTTCTGGAGAAGGGCCTGGTCTTCTCTTATGGAAATTTTATATTATGTCATTTTCTTTTTTCAGATTTAATGAATAGAACTGAGAGAAAGAGTTTAGGAAAGTTAAATTAGTCACATTTCTTCCCAACAAGAACAATTGTATGATTTGCATCCTGTCTTTCATTATAATATTCATTGACCGTGTAGCAATTCTGATATGATAAAGAACTAAACTAAACTCTATCATTTTTAAGTATAGAAGTAGGTAACCTCATTTGTGGCAGACAAAATTTACTTATGCAAAAATTTCATTATTACATTTGTAATAAATGGTAATGTACCCATAAAACTGATGTATTGTTAAATGCAAATTAAAAATAAAGTATAAAAAAGTGGAAAATATTTAATTATATTTTATAGGCTCATAGAAATGTAAAGTTTTTTAGGGAAATGAGATAATCTAGTCAAAATCCTCATTTTATAGATAAGGAGATAATAATCCAGATAATTTAAGAGGCAGAACTAATATGTTCCAGGGCTTTTTTATGCTATTGTGTTTCCCCTAAAGGGAGATAAAATTGTGATTGTTTGAATATTGTGGTTTATGAAATTGTGTGTTATTATATAAGTAGTACATAACTACATTCTTATAAGAGATTAAGACAAATAGGGATGTAGAATAAAATATGGTAATCCTCCTTTAAAGCCTGCTGTCACCTGTACACACACACACACACACACATTCCCCTATTCACACTTAATAACATAATTTTATAGTCATTTCACTGCTCTTTACATATAGTGGTGGTTTTGTTTTGCAAGGAAGCGTCTGTCACTTGCTCTTTTCCAGCTGATGTATTTTAGAGATCTTTTATTCCTGTACAATCAGTCCACTTTATTCCTTTTAATAACTGTGTGGTATTCCATAGTGTAGATTACTATAATTTATTTAACCATCCTCCTATTGATGCTTAGTTTTAGGGCTACTCCTTTAAGTTCTTTCTATTATAGACAGTGTTGAAATAAATAGCCTTTTACATGCAACAGGGTTTGGGACATGTTATCCCAAAATATGATGCCGTGGCATTTTGAATATTTCAAGTTGAAAGAATCTGAGAAATGGCAGGTACAGGAAGAACTTTCTGATCAACCCCTTCTACCTTGAAGCAAGTTATAAGACCCTCATATGAGAGGTGCTTTCCTTATACCTGGAGGGAAGGAGCATCCTTATCTCTGAAGATGGAGGGATGCCAAGAGGAATCCAAACAAATTAGGCTTACTGAATTTCTCCTACTTTAATACCTTAGCTCATACCCTTTT